CGGTCATTTCCATCAGTATGAGAGGTATTTATGAGTCCTATAAAAGGGAGTGCTTGTCTGTCTAGGAATGATAAAACATATTGCCTCCAGATGACCAATTCTGAAAATGAAGCTGGATGAAGGTAGTAGGGGAAGTGTTTTCATATTGCAAATGGACACATTCTCGGGTATCACAGGCTCCGCAGTAGAAAAGCAGCTGAAAAGCAAAAATCTGTTATGGGGGTAAATATAAATTTTGGCAAAAGGCAAAATCCTTTTTCTTTTTTTCAGAATTCAGTTGTATTTTTGACGTTCGACTTCATCATACTGCCCTTCCAGATTTGATTGTTGTGAAGGCTAACCTTACTTTTAAATCAGAAAACATGACATACAGTTAGTTAGACTGCGTAGCTATTAAAAATATGGGAAGAAACTTCCAATCCACTTTTTAAATTGTAAATCTTTATTTGCTAAAGTTTCCTGAACAATGTATCCAGAAATTCCTCTTGTAACTCAGAGAAACCGCCACTAACCCAGTTAGTTGAGATTTAAGTACAGCACTTCCATAAGCATTAGCTCTCCGTGGTAATTCTAGTTGACCTGAATCTGTTCCTACTGGAATCAGAGTGAGTTTTACTTCTGGTTTCCAGGAAGTCATGGAAGTGCCCAACCCTTCTCAGATTTTTTTGTTTTCTGCTGTCTGACTTAGAAGTGGCTCGTATTCTGCAAAATTCTTGCTGCGTGTTGAAAAACTTTCAGGAATACTTAAAAAGCGGATACAAAATGGTAGGAAATGTCTTGGTAGCTCTTTTAGCGATGTTGGTTAGCTAGTTTTCCAGTGTTTAGGCATGTTCTCTTATTTCTTAATGTTACTGAATTGGTTATTCCCAGAGACAGTGAAACAGAGTAAGTCTTAAAGGCTCTGTGGCCTGTAATATTTTTTTTTTTAAAAAAGAATTCTGCTATTCATTAGTGTTGCAGAACATAAAGAGCAAAAGTTGGTGGAAATAATTGCTGTATACTACTGTCTATTCAGACCCTGAAAAAGGCTTTCTTCATTTATTATGCAAGAACAAAATATCCTGTTTACACTGTTTGCCTCAGCTGAGAATGCCGTGGAAGAGAAACTATAGGGATCTGCAGAGCCACCATGCACAGTATCACACAAACCCCTTGCTTGTTCTTGGAGTGGTCTTCCCCATGGAGTTACCAAATCAAGAGAGAAACACGAGTAAAACACGATAAGAGATTGTGACACAGGACTGAGCTTCTGAAAAACATGTACAGTTCTGCAGTACTCGCAGTGTTATTTCATGGTAACTGTAGTGTCACAAACCAGAAAAGGTTAGAAGAGAAAAGGGAAAGATTCTGGAGCAATTTCTTTCTGCATTCTGCATAGATTGTCAAGCAGAGGAACAGCTAAACGTGCCCTAGAAAGGGTTTAGTGGAAAAAACCCCAACACAACCCAGTATAGAATCCACTAACACATTAATCCAGTAAATATTTGTGTGACTTTAAATGAAATAATCTTATTTCGGCTTTGTACAGCAATTTATGCTGTACATGCATCCTGTTAGCTCACTTAGACACGTTAAAGGGAGCACAAGCAAACCCTTAAATTCGGCCTTAGTATGGCTGTCTTGAAATGTTTACAGATTTATCTCTGGAAAAACACAGATTTGAGTATTGATGTTTTTCATTCGAATTATAAAGAATCCACCTAGTCGTTACACTCTTGATGCTTGGAGATGTTTTAAACGATTCTTGAAGAACCAGTGTGAAAAGGATGTGGATGTGCATTTGTGTAGATTAAAGTGAAGTTGTGGATGTTAGCATAAAACCACCGAATTGTGGTTCGGAGATAACTGTTCATGTGCTGCATGAGCAATAGAAAAATCCTGCACCTAACCTCCTTTCCCAGTCTCCAAGCTTAAAGGCAGTTTTCCTTGAGTAAGTATTACTACAAAGCCTAAAATACATTATAGGATTTCCTTCTACTTCTCCCTGTCCAAACTCTCAAAGTTTGCACAGCTTCAGCATACTGTAAGCCAAACATCAACAGAGCACTTGAGGATTTGATCAATTTTAAGTGTATAGGAATTTTTGTGATTCAGAAAAAGTACATATTCTAATGACAGGAAGGGTATACGGGCTTGGAATGAAAATAGTTTTCTTCTACTTTCATCAATCAGTTTTATGAGATAGGATCCCTTTATATAAAGACAGCGACCTGTACAAATATCAAATGATTGAACAACTCTTTCATGAATATATGGCAATCCATTTTAATTCTAATCATTGATCTTCGCAGTGAGAGTAAAATCCCTTTGAATTGTATTGTTAGGTTAAATTTCTCTATTAAATACACTTCAAAATTGTATGTGTGTTGTCCACGAATGCAATAGATGCAATGACTTTATAGTACCTGTTTTCCTAGGTTTTCAACAGAGCTTTCCAGAGATGGTGATGCACATTAGCACACTGAAATGGAACAGGACGGCTGTTGACAGTATTTCAGTGAAAGAAAACATGCTCAGACTGATGTGTAATTAATTACCCCTTGGAGATATTATTTCAAGTGGAGTAGATTTTCTTCTATTAAATTGCCATTTATTTGTGACCTTTAATTTATTATAAACAGTCGTCTTTCTACATCCGAGGCAGCAATGGAGAACAACAAGAATTTGTTACATTGGTCTCCTTAAATGACACTTGCAGCTTGGCAGAGTTAGAAGGAAGCTAGTATGTTTGCTATTCAGGAGCTAAAATAAAGGGCTTTACAACGTGATCTTCCATCCATTGCCCCCAGCAACATTTTACCTCCCTGAAATTTTAGAAATACAGTTAACTTTTGGGCTTTCCCCTTCCAAATGTTTCTGGGAGATTGGATCCGTCATTATTATTACTACTACTACTATTATTATTACTATTATTATTATTATTATTACTGCATTGGCATCAGCAGGTGTTTAAAAGAAGTGTCTAATGCCAAACTTCTGAACCTGCTTAGCTGCGTTCTCTTTCTTCCCTCTGTCCCCTTTCTGGGGAGGGAGCTGAGGGCAACCCCTGTACCTATGTCTGCCCCAGGGAGCGCAGATAAACCCAGGGAAGGTTGGTAGAGGCTGAATCAGAGTTTTTTTCCCCCCTTCAGACCCTGAAATGTCGCTCTTCCTTCCTTGGTGCGTACAGTGTGTCCTATGAAACCAAGCAAAGCTGAGCTCAGCCTCACAGTTGGCAGTTTGAGAGAAGACTGTTGAAAGGTGCACTGAAGTTTTATGACTCCCCATCACTAATGGAAAACACTAACGGTAGCGGGTGTTAGGTACGTGCTCCTTGTCATTCAGAAAAGGGGAGCGGCTTTGTGAGTAGAAAGGAGCCATTTCTTTAAGATCTGGAGTGAAATGTAATTTAAAGAAAAGGTTAAAAAGCAAGCCGCCGGTCCAGTCCCTCAGCCTGTTTCCCAAACGTTGGCAGCAAATAATGAAGGCTGTGTGCTAACAGGTATAATAATCACATTTAGTTTCATTAAAAACATCGGGAAGGAAAGGGCTCCTTTTGGAGTCTTAAGCTGACACTTTATTCACGTGAAGTATTTGAATATGAAGTTCATACTTATGTGGAAGGGAAGGCCATTTTTCTGACAGGATCTTTGTATACCACATCATCACACAGTCGTTTTCCTCAAGTGATCAGGTCGCACTGGTGTTGACCAGCTGAAAAGTGCAGTATGAATAAGGCACTTTAGCAAGAAATCCTCGGAAGCAAGTTACATCGTTTTGACTTCAGCAGAAGAATTGGATTACTTAAACATTTGCGCTGGGCCGAAGGATGACAGTAATCTTTTACAGGCGTAATTACATCGACGGGGGTCTTGCGTGGGGTTATTTGTCACCAACACAGCTTGAGCCTCACGTCCACCTTTGGCACCTCGATCCCTGACCCCGAGACCCCTCAGACTTGAGCGGGTATGAAGAATCTTGCAGCGTTCAGGGGGTGTAACCCCCGTACGCGCGGCTGGTGCTTGTAACCTGTGGCAGAGGCTTGCTGCTGCCCGCCGGGCCGGGCACGCGGCCGTTGCCTTTTAACATTGCCTTTTATTGCTGCGTGCGCTTCTAAACATCGGAGCTTCGGTTGTGTTTTCTAGACGCCCGTGTATTTAAGGCGCCAAAGTTTCGCAGCTTCGCGCCATCGTCCGCAGTGTTATAAATTGAGACCACAATGGATCACAATCCAGTTATAATTTTATTAATTATAGCAAGTAGAATATGAGCAAAGACAGCGCTGGACGGCAGGGGAGTCTGCGCTCCACCAACTGCCGCACTGATCAGTTCAAACAGTCCCTTTTTATACATTTTTACGTCCATGGCTATCTTTGAGCAGTACCTCTTCTGCTTGCACAAGCGGTATCTGGTTTGTGTAAGCAATTGCGGTTGTCTTATCTCACACAAGCGGTGTCTGGCAGCTGTTTGCATAAGCGGTTTCCTGTCTTTTGCTGCCTAACCTTTACATTGAGCTTAACATAAATTTCAATAAACAATACCCTAGTTCATAGTTTCTTACAGCAGGGCAGAAGTTCGAAAGAAAAAGAAGGGCGCCCCATTATGCGATGTTTTGTATTGCGAGAGGCTGTATAAGCTCAAGCAGGGCTGGGGGGGGGGGGGGGTGGTGGTTTAATGAACTCAGCGTGGTGTGCCGCTGTGCTGAGATGCTGCGGCAGCAGAGCGACTTCTACTCCCAGTTAGAAAACCTGAATAAATACACATCTGCCTGAGGACGGGCCTGGGGAGGGGGGGGGGGGGGGGGGGGGGCCCAGCCCTGCAGAAAGCGGCCCCTCGGCGGCGCGCGCCCTTTCCCGCCCGGCGCGGAGAGGGGCGGGGCGCGCGCGCGGCGGGGGCGGGGCCGGCGGCGGTGAGGTGTTGCCTGAAGCGGGGGGGGGGGGCTCGGACCGCGGTTGCCATGGAGACCTTTGTGCCCGGCGGCGCGCGCCTCCCCCCTCCCTGGGCCGCGCTGCCCCCGCTGGGCCGGCGGCAGCTGCCCCGGCCGCGCCCCGCGCCCCGCGCGCGCCGGCCTCCCGCTGCCTCGAGCACGCGGAGGGGCCGCGGGCCGGGGGCGTCGCGGCCGTTGTCGTCTCTCCGAGCGATCGGAATGGCCGGCGGCGTTCGCCCGCTCAGATTTGCTTCCAGTTGCTTTCTGTGAGGGGTAAAAGGAGGGAGGGGTGGAGGGGGAGGGAAAAAAAGAAAAGAAAGGAAAAAAAAAAAAAAAAAAAAATGACCAGACCTGCGTGAGCTCCTGCTCCGGAGAGGAGGGAAACTCGGCTCAGCTTTGAGGAGACTTCCCAGAGCGAACGCTGAAGTGATTAAGGAGATTAATTTACAAGTGGGCGACAAAGGTAAAGAGTTATAAAGATGGATCGCTTGTTTGGGGCTGCTTTGGGATTTGGTTGAGGTGAAGACGGAGGTTTCGTGAAAAGCTATAGAACTTGTTTTAAGCGTCCCTTCTGAATGGCTTAGAAATACTTTTGGACCTAAAAATGCTTTAAATCTGCTTATGCAAGGCGATATAGGTAGCAATTGCTAGATTCTGAAGTCCGCGTGAAATGCTAATTTGTGGCTGGTAGGTTTTGGTCGTTTGTTTGTTTATTTGTTTTCTTTTTTTTTTTTTTTTTAAAAAAAACGGTGTTCTTGGCTCAAAAAAGAGAGAGATGGGTACTTTAAAGTTCATTAAAGGCAAGAAAGTAAATATTACCCTTCAGTGGAAGTGTCTTGTATCCCCAAAATGCTTCATGTTCTTATTCAGCAACACTTTATTTAACTGGTTATTTCTTGTTTTAATTTGTCTAAAGCAGCGAGTTAAGAAAATCAGCAATTCCACCGAGATAAAACAATTGAACAGCCTAAGTTTTCTTGTGCAATAATGTATTTTTGTAGATAAATGCTTTCAGCTTGCAGACCTGTTGCTTTGTACTTTTACCTTAGAAAATGCTCTCAATAACTACTATGTACTCTATTGATACATTTTTTCTGAGTATAGTCTTAAATAGGTGAGAATGGGATTTGTATCGCTTATATGTTTAACCTTTAAGTCTTTATCAAGCTTTCAGGTAGATTTTTTTTTTTTTTTTTTTTTTTTTAATGTGTAGATGGGTCAGCTAAATTGAAATTCATTACAGAAGATTAGTGAAAATACTTCATGGTTATGATCTAGTTCCATCTGGTGCTGCTCAAGTCCCAGGGAAATGTAACTGAATGTTCAAGGGACTAAATAAATGAATTTTATGTGGAAGAGTTCCAACAGGCTTTTCTGACACAGATCTGTATATTTCTTAAGGTAACAGTTTATTTACTAGTGTGATCTTTCGGCTGGATGGAAGTAAAATATCTAAAATGTAAAACCAAACACCCCCTCCCCCCACCTCCAAGTCTAGTCCTTCTTACCAAATTAAAAAAAAAAGGATGAGGGGGGTTAGAGCAGCTTGGGTTTATGTATTATTCCTGACTCAAGACACGGCAGGAATATGTTATTGTGAATTAATACTGTTTACTAGGTGACTGCGTCTGTCAGGTTAAATGAACAAGCATGTACCCTCCCAAAGTCCATAATTAATAAAATGTATGACTTGGAAGGAATTCTCTTCTCATATAACCATAAGCAGTTTTTATTAGTTAAAATTAGAAACAAAAGATTTTGTAGATCAAACTAGTTTAACTACTCAATCTTAAGTTAAGGGCCAGTTTTCTTCCTAAAACTACTTTAGCTAAAGCAGTAAAACTACTTCAAGATCAGGAACTAATTTTATTTCAAAAAAAAGTTTAGTAAAACTAATTCAGTGTTTGGCGCTCAGTAGTTTAAATGCTTTGCAGGGTTGATCCAAGCTTGTTCCTAGCTGATCCAGCTAGTCATTTTAACTAGTTTATAGCACTAGGATGATTTTAATAAGACCGCTTAACTCGTTATGTGGTATTTTTGAGTTGAGTGTGGTGTCTTAAATCATGCTTGTTACTGTGGATTCTTTCAGAAGCTTTTCAGTTGCGTCCTATTCAATTTCAGTGTCTTCTGAAGCCAAGTGTCCAGAAACTTGTTACCTTCCTTTTCTCCCCTCTGAGAAGCGCTGCGAAAAGACCCCAGTGGGAAGGACATCGAAGTGACTCTGAAGCAATTAGGAAGGGACTCGTGAAGCCCATGGTGGCAGAGCAGGACCTGAAGTTGTTTTAGCAGTTAATTCAAGTCTCCTTTTCTAAAGTCCTCTGAGTCCAGTGTAGAAATAAAAATTCCGCAAAGTCCCTAATAGTGTTTTCTCTGTGGAATTTCCTGTGGTTGATAAATATTTCAAGAAGGTAGTGATACATTTCAAGCGCACTGCTAAGCTGAGATACTTCATGGTCCTTTGCATGTACATTTGCATTATTCATTTATGGTGTGCAGGTAGATAATGGGCCAAATCTGTCTTTGGTATTACTCCACTGATTTCGGAGTAACTGAACGAATTCAACCGTACGTTAACATCTTGATTTTTGGAAGTTCGAGGCAAAGTTGGAATTACTTCAGTGATTTTATTATACAGTTAGTAGTTGTTTATGTACTAACTAATGATGTTCAGTAGCTTAGGCATTCTTTCGTTAAAATAATTGTAAGTGGGAGGTGCAATTTATTTTTTTTTCTCCTCTTTGTGAAAAAAAACAAAGCAAAGCAACCAACCAACCAAACAAACCAACTAACCAAACGTGTTCAGTCTTCTAGCTGTTGAATCCTAAAGTGACCGACAGAGAGATACAATAAAACAGCTTTCTGTCATTGGTGACAATTCATCCTAATAACCTACTAATGTCGACACGCTTTTTTTGTAGCGTGCTACTTAAAGTAGAAGAACTCTCTCCCTGTTTTAAGCAGCCTTCCATACAATGGGTCCATGATACTATCAACGTGCTTCTTTTGTATGTGTGCACGCATACAAACTATACATATATCTGTACTTTAAATATATTGCTTTAAGCTATGAGGAAAGGCAGAGGTAACAGAAAATGGGAAGCCTTCATCGAACAGCATGCACTATATTTAAAATGCTGACACTGGGCAGGCTTTTCAGTTGGCAGAGTATATAATAATTTGATGGAAGCTGCTACCCTGACATTTATATCTGGTATATGAAGTTGGCTATTGTTTTTGGGGGAGTTTTCTCGATTTTGTTTATTTTACTAGAGATTGATGATGTAGGAAATCATTGGGATCGTTTTAATGAGAAATTTAAAATATTTCTTTTTGAGATCCTCCCAGAAAACTCTTTGCATGGGGTTCATGTTGTTACAAATAGTTTCTGCCAGAGGTCAAGACCTTTGTTTGACATTCTCGGAACAGACATTCCATTAATTGGCTTTTGAAAAAAAGCTGATCTGACAATTAAAGCAGGAACTTTATCCTCCCAGCCATGAATACATGCAACACATCTCTGTCAATCTTGAGCGCTACAAAACCGTGCAGTGTTAAGGATCTGGAAGAAAAAGTAGTTGGAAACACAACTACATGTCAGTCGAAGTAAGGTGCTCTCATTAACACACCCTTTGTCTAACACTTTCGAATGACGGCGTGAGTGGACGAGTTATTCAGCAAAGATCCTTGGTTTTGTTACAGTGTGGTGGAGCAAATCAGAATTTGGCAGTCGATAAGAAAAATGCCTATACATTTTGCATATTACCTGGGAATTATGACAGTTATGTGTAATTTGTATTTAGACCAGTTCTAAAAGTTTTATTCTCAGTAGACTGAAACATGTTGAAGCCAAATAACTTTCACAGCTTTAGAAGTTGTCAGAGAAACTGAGAGTTGGGACACCTGTCCCTTCTGTGCTAGGAAAGGCTGTAAAGTCTATGGAGGCTGCAATAAGCGTTCATTGACAATTTCTGCTAAAGCTATAGGCAGAGAAACAGTATCTATTTGAACTGTTGAGTTGCAACATTAAATCATTTGGTGATCAACAGGCACTCAGACAGATGTCATCAGATTGGGTTTTTTTCTAGTTGTGGCCTCAGTTTTCCTGGTAGTGATGAAAACTGATAATTTTTGTTTAATGGAAAGCTTGCATTCTTCTGAATAACATTATCACTGAGCACGTCTAGACCATGTGTTAAGATATTTTGATTGTGTCATAAAGAAATAGTGATTATTACCATTCTCTTAGGGTTGTACAGATGTTGTGTAAGGAGTGGTAGCAAAGAGTTCATTTGGAAACTGAAGGCAGATGCCTTTGCTTTCTGGTACATACCAGCTCCCGCTCTGGCCCACGCACGGGACTAGTTCAGCTGAAATTCCTTGTTAGACTTGCATGAACTGTGGCTTAAAGATGATGTTGGCTGCCATGGTGAGAAAAAGGTAGATGGCTGGTCCAGCCCGCAGGATGGCCCAGCAGACTACGTAAGAAGTAACAGCATCTTTATTACAGCCTTGATTGTGCGGTTGCTCATTTCTGTGTTGTGAAACCACCACGCAATTGGAAATGGTGGTAAATCTAAAATCTAATGTGGTTGATCTAGCCTCTGTCGCTTGCCTTTTCACTCCTTTTTCTTGAGTGAATTTATTAGTAACCTTATTTAAACAGTAACAGGCCATTCTATTTTGATTTCTTACCTAAGCCAACTTGGTTCAGTACTGAGTTTGCTTTTCTCTGTTTCCAACTCTTTCAAGTTTTCTTAAGTGCCAGAGTTTATGAATGTGCAAAATGGGCATGCTAAAACCTGATATAAATTCTCTTGCATAGAGGATTAAGATTAATCCGTCATCGATAATATCGGAGGGGTGCTGTTGACTAAAATGTAGTTTAACAACATAAAAGCAGAGGTGATATTACAGACTTGTAGTTTTTTGCTGTTATTTTAATGTCTTATCTCCAGAAGGGTCAATATTTTATCACTGGGCCCAGTCTAGCATGAACCTTCTAATGCTTTTTTCTTTTAGACTGTTGAAGCTGTTAGTTCTCACATAGAAAAGTCATGGATAAGCAATATTTAAGCAATAGAAAAGTCAGCCTGTGTCTAGGAACCTCTAACTGAGAAAACCTCAAAAATTCTTCTCCTGCAAGAGATGATTGTCAGTAAATAAAGAATTAAAATACAAAGATCTTCTAGCAGAGTTTTTAAACAGCAATGACAAAAAAACCCCAAACCCCCAACAATCACTTTAGCAATTTTTTTTTTTTTTTTTTTTTTTTTTTTTTTTTTTTTTTTTTTTTCCCCGTTTTCTTCAAGGCTGCAGTGTTATGTGTTTACCTTGCCCTGAGTTTAGAATAGGTTTCCTTTGGCTCCACAGCTGACTCTCCCAACTGGCTTTGAGTGTGCTAAAAATTTAATAGCCAAATTTCAAATTGAGAGTCAAATACAGAAATGTCTTGATGTCAGCTTT